ATTTTAAGAAAAAAAAAACACACCCACAAACAAAACCCACATTATTTCAGAATTGATCACAGAATCATTTAAGCACAAGGAACACTAAAATATAAACTTTAGTGGCTTTATAAAAATCCCTGGAGTGTAGAAAATGTCATTGGAGCATCTATTAACGTTCACCGTTAAAAGCATTTTTAAAATAAGGACCTCATCATTGCAGGTGAGTTCCAGGAGTTAACATAAGAGGTACTTTACCTCAGGAAAGTTCCTGCAGATTTGTCACTGTTTATTAAGTTGGGAACAGAGAAACCCAATACCCTGCAAGCTACAAAAGAGAGGTAAGCAAAAAATACCAGCTCCCACCGCCCTCAGCACTTTTCATCTCCGAAATGCTATTCCAAGAAAAAGAGAACAAGCTAGATAGTTGCTTTTAGCATTCACAATCAATGCAAAATTGTAGAGTTGTGTAACTTTCTAAATGGACTTACTTCAAAGTGGCTGTGGGGCAAGAATCATTAAACAAGCACTTTTGCTTAGCACATAGCAAACAGGTCTTTTAATCTGATGTTGGGGAAGAAGGTTATTTTATTTATTCAGCTGTGGTTTCTGTGGAATTTTAAATGGACTAAAAGAGGACTGTTTGTTTGGATGCATGGAGTATTATATATATTTTGCTATTTTGGGTTCCTTTAACTTAAAAAACAACAACAGGGATTTTGGTGGGTGGAGTTGCTAGGAAAGGGGCAAAAAGGTAAGGAGGAAGTACTCCAAATGATAGACTTTGCAAAGCAATAATCTCCTTCGTTCAAAGCATCTCAAAGGGATTTGCAAAGGCTACTGGTCCAGCGTTTTGGGAAGTGAATCTGAAAAGCAGGGAAACCAACTGATTTTCCCAAGGTCATTGGACACAGTGGCAAACACATTTAGAGCTGAGCTGTCCGTCTTTGGGCCATCTGCTTGCATGAGTTTTCTGCTCTCCTAGAGTTTTACCCATAATTCCCACAAATCAGCCTAATAATGACTAGGAAAATGAATTTACATGTAATTAAAGGTGGAACTGCTAATGTTATCTTTGCAACCAGGATACTGAAAGACTGTCAAGGTCATGCAGTTAAGAACTGAAAAATGAAGAGAAACAAAAATAAAGCCTGTTAAGGTAGCCCCACACCCCAAGTATTAAATTCAATGTGAAAAACCTTTTATAGGAAAAGTACAAACAAGAGTTAAAATTTTTTTCCCTACTCATAATTATGAGCAATATTGAAATTTTCAGGAAGAAATCCAAACGTAAGACATTTAAAATGCATGCTAGGTAAATTTCGTGTGATAAATAGGAAGGAAGCAGCGAGATCTTGCTAATTAACAGCTCTGAGCAAGGGAATGTGGAGAGAGGAAAGACGGAATTGTAAGCTCTGGGGAGTTGTTGAAAATCAGAGCTTTAGGAAACCGCTCATGAGAAATTAATGCTGCTATGAAGACAACAGACGTTGTTCTGGGTGTTTTCTAGTTCACTCAAGAACTGAAGAAGTGCTCAAGGGCAGGGCTAGTGAGCATGGTGGGTCCAAGTCAAGAACCGGTTTCAGGCCCCACAGTGTGGCTCTGTGGTTGAGCATCAACCTCTGACCCAGGAGGTCACGGTTCATTCCTGGTCGGGGCACATGCCAGGGTTACAGGCTCCATCCCCAGTATGGGGAATGCAGGAGGCAGCCAGTCAATGGTTCTCTCTCTGAAATTAGTAAAATAAAATATATAAATAAATATATCACACAAAAGAACTGGTTTCAGTTACAGAAGGTACAAAGATGTTCAGAGAGACCTTTGACCAACATTCAAGTGAAGGCCAAAGCTCAATGGATGTAGACAGTTACCTCCAATGCTTTCTTGGGTGATGCTGACATTACTGCAAAGATCTTATAAGCTTCTCTTTGGGGGCTGCTGTTTTCCCAGTCTGTTATTAAAGCAACTGGACTTGGGAATCTAGTCACTCTCCATCAAGTGACCAAATCTTACTGATTCAGAAACTCCCTCCTCTGTTGAAAGGGGGGGTCAAAAAGACTATTGATGAGGAAAATTAACCTACAGAGTATTTATTTATGGTATTACTACCTCTTTGATGACATGATAAGGGCTAGTTAGTAGAGACTTTTTAAATGAGAGCAGGGTAAAAGAGGGAATTTCAGGAGAGGGATATTTTTCAGAAAGTAGTTCCAGGGAGTGTGCTTAAAAATCATCGCAATGTAGCAATGCAAATTGGGACATACGGAATCACAAATTAGGGGATGCTCGAGCAATATTCTGGATGGAAGTTTAATGTGGAGGGTGTGTGTGAAGGGGAAGAAAGAGAGATTAATTTAATTCCATTTGCTGATGTGACTGGAGCACAACTATTTTTAGGTATAATCCAAACAGTGCATATCTTCTCCATTTTGATTAGTAGCAAATTGGCAGGGAGTCAAAAGAATTAGTATTTCTCAGCACATTATGCCAGAAACGTACAAATAAAACTAAATGATCTGTGCCAATGTGTTTAATTTGAATTTCTGCTAAGGTTTTTATTTATTTTTCCCTTCCAAAAAAACGAATAGGTTCAGCTTTGTTAAAAAAAAAAAATATATATATATATATATAAAGCCTTTCTCAAACGGCAGCAGAAGTTAATAGAATACTTTCCCTTTAGACCCTCGGTTAGAAGCTCTTGCTAAAAAAACTGAAATGTTAATATCATCCTGAGACTTCGGGTGCAGAATTTCCGCCTGGCAATATTACATGTTGCCAGAGGAAGTCGGCACATTCAACAAAATGCAAAATTAAAATAAGCTAGGAAAATGTGCTTGACAGGGAAAGCTTTCACAATAGCCACTTAGAAGTTATTAATAATTCCAGTTCCAAAGAAAGCTTGGACTGAAAAAATAAACTCTATTTGCAAAGTTCTATGTAGGCAAGTTCACCAAGGGAAGAAGCTGTCTGTGTTACCAATTATACATTTCTACCTTGGAGGGAGAATTCATAGATGCTGGACTAACCTTGTTACCCATTAGAGAGCTTTATAGGGTGCAAAGGAAACATCATTTCCAAGGCAGCCATTCAATGAACCTTGATCATATTGAAGTTCACTGTTTTAATTTTAGTGTTAATACCTTCGTCACTTTGTTACACACAAACCCATGGGCTAAGGTGGATTTTCTGCCTATTCATTGCCCTCCACCTGTCACTTCTGCTGCGCATTATTTCACCAGATTAAATAGGATTGGCACTTTCTTCCTCCCACTGCTTTAGCGATTGGGACGGGCAGCCCAGCTCCCCACGTCCCTACTATAAACCAGCGTCTGTCTTCTTTAAAAAAAGCAAAAAGTAGTCTTCATCGGTGGCTGGGAATCACTGGCACAGTATGTTTTTGAATCCTCTCAATTCCTTAGTGAGAGAACGCAGGAATCACACAAAAATCTTTTTCTATTTTCTACAAATAAATGTAACCTGGTCCCCAGGTTATCGTGGTTTCTTGTCATTTACGAAAGAGCTCAGAGCTGTCTACTGGATAAAGTTATATATATATACATTTGGTTGTTGTTTAAAGTTTAAGGGGCTTTTCATCATTTTAACACCTGAGGTCTGATGTATGTTTTGGGCTGGGAAAATGTCTTTTTATTTCAATGTAAGGACAATCTATGCAAAGTAAGTAGATAATAAGGAAATGGAGAAAGTGAAGCTTTAACCTGGTACTTCAGTATTCTTCAGATGAAACTCTAGACATTTAATCTATTAATTGTGCGGTATACTTTAAAATAAAGCGCAACAGAACCCCTAACAAAAGGCATCTTACATACTCCTGGTGGGGGAAGGGAGGGTAGATATGACCGCATTTAGTACCTGGGGGGAAAGAGCTAGATTTCATCCTGAAATTGATTCTGCATCCTCCAAAATAAGTTTCTTTAAGTATTTATCTTTGTCTTCTTAAAGAAGTTTTGCCCTTCTCCACTCCCCCGCCCCCCTTTTTTTTCTGGAGGAAGGTCTTAAACATATAGCAGCTTGTATTGGAATGGCTACTCTTCATGCAGCCTTCTGCTGCTCTCTAATCACACACATCACGGACCCTTCTCAGAAGGCTCTCTCCTGGTCTTTAGACTATCCCCCCTGCAGAAAGGGACAATCAGAACCCACTTTCCTTAGCGGAGAACAGTTAAAGCTCAGGACGGGCCCCAAAGTTCTACTTTTCACTTTGCTTTCTTTACTGCACGATCCTGAAATGAAGCGCTGGTTTAAAAAATACAAAGCATACATCCTCAAACCAACTTATTCTGGAGAATGTCGCATTCCTCCCAGGGTACAGATCTCACTCTACTTTCCTTAGGAACTAATTTCATGAAAACGATCCCCTCCATTGGCTGTCATCATGCTGCTAGGAAGTTTTAAAACTTGCCATTTGCTTCTACCTGGGACCGGCCCACCCAGAACTTGTGGTCTCTTTAATCACACGACAGAGAACAATATTTACTTCAAAGCTCTTGTATACACATTTTTGCTTGACCACCAGAACATGTTTCACTCTGAACAGCCACTGGAGAAATGTGCGCACACCGACCATCTGCAGGCTGTGGGATTCTCTCATGGGAAACAAGAAGTCATGGAGGCCACTTACCGGATTCCAAGCAGGCAGCTTGTTCAATGAGTTAGTCTTCTTTCCTGCCGGTGCCAAGTTGCAGCTGAGTTACCTGGCTCCGTCACTTTAGAAGACACACAATCCCAAATGTTACTTCTTAAGTCAGGTGCAGCCATGGGCTCTTGAAAATACCACAAGTAGTCTAGCATACCTTCAAGCGGTTGTGGAAATTGAGGGCGAGTCTGCAGGTCTCGGTAGGTGCGTGCCTTATTTGGTTTAGAGGCATTTTGCCATGTTACCGAGTCATGAAAAGCTATTAAAAGAGCTCCCTGGAAAAACCTATATTTTGCACAAAACAAACTTGTCTTTTCCCTGGTCACGGACCCCTCACAGACACACGGCACATAACCATCATTGTGCTTCATTGGTATTTATTGCACATGGACCAATTCCTCACACAGTAGTTAGTTGCACCAGCGTATAAATACTTGGTAAAACACACAGAGGAAATAGAGTTTATACAGAAAGTGCTCAATTTTACCAGCAGATTCACGTGGGCACTTGGACATAAAAAAATAATAGAAAAATCCCCAAGGTATTTATATTTATAATATGGATACAGTTACAGTACCATGATAAAAGAGTATAAAAAGGTATTTTTCCAATATATTACTAGCTCAATAAAATCATAGCCAACAGAAGTAGAGCTTGAATTTTAGTTTAGTTTTTAAGGTCTGCCCTCCCTCCCCGTTAAAAAATATTTAATTTCTTCTTGTGCAAGTTAACACCTCTGTGGACTTTACAATTTCTAACACTGTGCAAAAATGGCATTTTGAACCACTCCTTTTTTTTTTGTTTTTGTTTGTTTTTACCCACATGTGCAGTAATCTGAATTATTTCCTCTCTTTTTTTTTCTTTTCTTTTTCTGTTCTGTCTTCAATGGACAGAGTCACATGTCATAGAGGCTCAGTGCCTGGTCCTTCCAACTAATATTGATACATAAATAAGCTGTTTAATATAAACAAGTCTTTCTAGCTTGCTGTGCAATGTGCACAGTGTGAGGTAGAAACCCCGCAGCCGGGCCACCTAGGGCGTGGGGACAGCAGGCTTGCCCTACACAAGGAAAGCAAGGTGAGGCGTGTTCCAAGAATAGCTTACAATTTTTTCTGTCTTTGTTTTGAAACGCACTTTTTGCATCCACCCTTTCCCTTTGCTTTCAGAGCCGGAGAAACCATTCCTGGGAATTACACTGAAATTTCTCTGGAAAGCAAATGGAAAGACGGCTTGACAAACTGCCATTCCCCCTCCACCCCTCTCCCCCGTCCGGGAAGGGGGATGGAAACCACGTTGATAAACAGGTTATACCCTCACCCTTCTTCCTTCCCTGCCGGGCCCCTGCAGCAAGTGTCACCCGGGGAAAAACTATCTAAAGAGGCATCGCACGCGCGCGCACAAACAGGGGAAAGAACCCGAGAGCCCTGAGCGAGCCGCTGTCCCACCTCTCCCCAAACTTCCCTTTCTGGCAACGGTCCGTGACGTTCCTGTTTGTTTTGGATGATTCAGGCGAGGTCTGCGGGCTTCGAGTTCACCTGCTGCAGGTCTTGAGTAAACACACATCTCTTTCCTCCGGGAAGCCATTCAGGGGCGCCCGGACCGGCTCCGTCCCGGCGGGGCGGCGGGCCCTACACCTTGGATTCCGAGGTGCGGCCGGGG